TTTAATTATAGTAATTTACAAATTTTTAAAAATCTTTTAAACATTCTTCTAAATTTTCACTTTGTTAGGTTATTAAGTTATCGAGTGAAGACTATATTTACTAAGCGAAAATCTTCACGCACCAAAATTTTTAAAACAAATTATTTTTTTTGCGTATAAAAGTACCCATTTTCAAATTATGGGTGACCATACACGACATTATCAGAAAATAAAATCGATGACTATAGTAAATTTAATGCCAACATTCCTTAAATTAGATTACGGAGAATATTTCCAACATTTTTAATATTATAGAGTACTTCGAAATTATAAACAAAAAGCGTTCACCCGTCACTTTCTTAAATTGTTTTGATAGATAAAGTCTCCGTAGAACAACACTGAAACTGTCAACATTTTCAGAAGCACTTGTGAGCCTTGTCAAGTACTTAATCACCGTTACTGTTTGTTTTAAAAACCCATTTCTTGGTTATTTTCAACTTAAAATAAATAATATATGTTTAAAATCAGATTAATTGTACTTTAAATCAGCTAATATTCCTCATATAAAGTTTCAGAAAAGTATATTTTATTTTTGGTAGATTTTTTACTAAAGAAAATTACATTGTTTGATTAAAAGAGGCCACTAATCAGCTATTTTTAGCCAAAAAAAAAAAAAAAAAAAAGAATCGGACTCCATTCAATATAATTTCTGTTTGAATTACACTATAAAGTATTTTGTTTACAGGAAATAATAAATTTATTAATCCTCTATTCCTCCTAAATTAAAGTTAAAATGAAAGCAAAAAGAAAGATTTTAAATTCTTAAAATTCATTTTATAGATTCTTAGGTATCGCGAATTATTCGTGAGTTAATGGAGGTACCTAGACAAGGGATCGAACTCACTAAAGCAGTATTTATTTTAGTCGAGGAACTTGATTTTATTTTATTTATTTATTATTATTTTTTTTTTTTTTAAAAAGTAGTAACGTTTTATTTTCTTAATAAATCTATGTACAAGATCAGAAACCGAGGAAGTTAAAGTCGGCTATACCTTTTTAGTTTTTAAGCAAAAACAAATTTCGGATCACCTGGCAACACACCAAATTCATTGTGTTTACAACTTCCTTTCACATTTTTCATTTCACGCATGCACACATTCATTATAATTGAAGTAATAAATAAATAAATAAACGTGCATATATGCGTGTGTGTTTGTGATTGTTTTATATATAGGTTTTCTTAAGTATATAAGTGTGTACAAAATAAAATATTTTAAAAAGAACTTTTTAATACACCCCCCAAAAAATAACAGCTTTTAGTTCCCCATTTACAGCTTCCAAGATAAACAAGCGCCCATTTTGAAAAATTGCTTGCATGAATCGGTCTGTAAACGGGTAAGGTAACTAAATTAATGTTTACTTTCTTTACATATGTATGCGCATATACAGTGTAACCCGGATATAAGAGACCCGGATATAAGAGAAACCCGGATATAAGAGAGATTTTCTCTGGTCCCAAATTAGAGCCTGTGTTAATGTATATAAAATAGACCAAACCCGGATATAAGAGAAACCCGGATATAAGAGACTTCTCCGGTCCCGACAACTCTCTTATATCCGGGTTAGGTTATATATATATATATATATATATATATATATATGTGTGTGTGCCTGCGCGCGCGTGTGAGTGTGTACATACACAATGGATGACAAAAATGATCATTATATTTTAAATAGAATATATATTAACTAAAACAATATAAATAAAATATTTATAAATAAGAACTATAAAACATTTTGTTATCTAATTTTTATAGACTATAAGGAGCAGACAAGGATATATAATATCAATACATACACACACACACACATATATATATATATATAGAGAGAGAGAGAGAGAGAGTTAGAGCGAGAAAGAGCGTATCGAGCAATGAGTAATAAATAATTAATTATTCTTAGTATAAATTTTATCTCTGCCATTTTGCATCGAGTAATATTTTATTACTACCACCAACACTCACTGTACGTTCTTTTATATTTATCTTTGTAGATAGACAAATAGATTGTGGACATAGGAATCAATGACGCATGGTGACTGTCAGTTTTACGTTTCAATGCTATCATCAGACAAAGAATTGGTCTTAAGTTTACATCCCCTCTATCAACATTGTCTATATCTATAAACACTCTATCATCGATATTGGTCACGCTTCCTGTCCTGCTTTTTAATCCATAGCTGGGATAAGGTGTATTCGTGCCTTTTCCAATCATCTTTGCGCGACGTTGGTCTCTCGCTCAATAGCGCCCCGCACATAATAATCAAAAGAGTTGCAGTCTGGGGAGTTACGTAGCCAGATGTAAGGGGTGATATGGTCGCAAAAATTGTCTGACAGCCGTGACTGGGTTCTCTTGCTTGTGCGGTATGGTGCAGAGTCCTGTTGATAGATATAGGGTCTTCCAGTAGCCACACTCTTGACATAGGGTAACACTACCTCCTCAAGGCACTTGATGTAGGCCGCTGTGTTGAGTCTGAGGCCCTATGGGAAGATGAATGGAGACATAATGTTGACATCACTAGTGATCACGCCAAATACCTTCCTAATCACCATTAGACTCATCCAACTCATTCCGAATCCCCTGCACTGTCCTCAGATTGACACCCAAACACTCTGAACTGTTCGTATTAGAGCTTCCTGCGCGAATTCCAGGCAGTACATTATGCGCCATTATTCTCCTTTTCTCTCATACGGTGCCCGACTGACCCTAGTATATTGCGCAGTCGACAAAATATAAAACAAATAACGCGCATGCGCGAAATTAAAAATATAAAATGGCGAAAATTTACCCTTCGCACTCTGTACATATTACAATTTTATGAATAAACATTACCTCGTCATTGTAAATAATACGAATATTCTAAACAAAAGCTCTTTTTAATTCCTCTTTTTTTCATCGGGTCAGGTCCAATCCGTTACTGATACGTTGTAACCCAGTACAACTTGCTTCATGGTTAGAGATTGTCAATATATAAACTGGTCTGATCGCTAAATGTGGTGTCTCGATAAAAAAAAAAAAAACATGGCACTTCCGAGTGACGATCCTTCAACTATCAACCGTTAGTTTCTCATGATTGATATGGCTAATGCATGGAATATGGCCATCGTGAGAAGCGCGTACGGCTCTACATGAGGGGCGTTGAAGAAAGGGGAAAAATGCTTTTTTGCCTTTAGTAAAAGTCATTCCCCTGTTTATGGTTAATTTTAAACTGGGAATAATAATGTTATTGAATATTTTGTATTATCAACAAAATTTTGTGAATGATCGAAATATTAGCAAAATCAACCACATTTACTATGTTTTTAGTCATATCACCGCATGCAAGGCAGTAAAGTCACGATGACATAAGGCTTTACAGAGTATGAAAAAAGAGAATCATTATTAAGGTGTGAGGGCAATAGAAGAGTAATCAAGAAGTGAAAATTAGAAGACCTATATTCAAATTTATAGCATTCTGTGAATGACGTGAATAAGCATCGAAATATTAGCAAAATCAGTTGAAAACTAGAATACCGTAATGTCTCGAAAATAATACGCACCCATAAATAATACGCACCCTAACAAATGATCCAAAAATTAAGAAATATATCTATCCCTATGTATAATACGCATCTATAAATTTTGTCAAAAAAAAAAAAAAAATAATTACAAAGACATTTTGTCGACCCTGAACTTATTGTAAAATGGATTCAGGAATCTTGGTATTCCATCAGTGAGGATATTATAAAAAGAGGTTTCAATAAGTGTTGTCTCACGACAGCCATGGATTGCTCTGAAGATGACATCCATTGGCAAGAGAATGAAGAGACCAAAGATAATTTTGAACAGGATGAAGATAATATTATTAATGATAATTTATTTAATGACAATTTAGATATTGATTCTATTATAATAGAAAGTGGTGATGATGATATTGGAAATTAAAATTTCAATAAATTGTTAACTTGATATCCTCTTTTCTTCGAAACTGGCCTTTTTATAGATTTTTTTTTATTTTTTCGCTGAATAAAAAAGGCGATTACTGATAAGCATAAATTTATTGACAAAAAAATGTTACATTTATTATTGTTGGATTTAAAATGAAAATTGGGATATCTTTCTTATTTTGGAACAAGTACGTATTTATTATTATAAATCAATAACGAAAAAATATTTTTGTTTTAACCCATTTATAATACGCATCCCTAATATCACCTGTAATTTACAGTAAAAAAAAATGCGTATTAATTTCGAGAAATTACGGTAACTATTTTGAAACATACTATAAATAAACACCGAAATATTAATAGAAATCATGTATACTTGTTGTGACTTAACTGTTATGATTATCCAACAAATAATACTATTGATGTTAATTTCATCATTTACAAATCAAACCAGTTGAGTCCAATTTAAATTGTCTGCTTGATAGAGAATTCGCGCCAAATCTAACCGTCAAAATTGCACCCACTCAGATCAATACCATCACAGGCACTTAAAAAATAAAGTAAAAAAATAAATAAAAGTCAGCAAAGATCTGCCACGTGGTCTGTCATTCATCATTGTTCATTTCCTTCTAGCCTTAACCACCCACTACAACCACCTGCCTTGGTCAAGTAAGCAAGCAACCAACTCTAATCCCCCCTTTTACAACCCCTGAGTTTCACAGTGAATAAGACCCACACGCCTTCTGGTGTCAACTTTTGTTTGTTAGCCTGATCCTATCCACTTGTTCCCGCCAATTCTATTTCCTGTCGAATATTGGGGGACCAAAATGTGCCCTCCTTATGAAACCCCGGCCATCCCATTACTGATGACCCCAGCTTAGGCCTTAAAAAAGAATGCTGTCCCACTATTGTGATAATAAACAAGGTGACTCCCTATCAAATGCGTTCACAAAGAGGATAAAAAAAAAGTTTTTGTGCATGTGCCTTTCTCCTTCGACTGGAGCAAAAAATGCCCCAAAACAATTTTTTATATCAATGCGTACAAGATATAAACTATATATACAACATCTATCTATCTATCTATCTATCTATCTATCTATCTATCCCAGTCTGTTTATATCTGTCTATCATGTCAGTCTGTTCATATCTATCTATCTATCTATCTATCTATCTATCTATCTATCTCGGTCTGTTTATATCTTCCTATCTATACCTGATTATATTTTTCGCAAGTTAAAGATTTCAAGAGATAGTTACTTTCATATAGTTCAGCAAGGTATCGTGTGTGTCAGTCTATCTATTCTCGTTTAAAATATTGATAACATTTTTTGTTTTTGTTTTCAGATCTCTTTTATTTATTTTATTTTGTAAATTCCCAATATTATGTTCCCATCACTCAAAATCTTTATATCTTGGGACGTTTTTGATCTTTATTCCACACCACGACTCTGAAATTTAAAAAGTACGCATCAGTAACTGTACTATATACACTGGCGTATAAAAATTTTGTATCAACTAAATAAAATGATTTTACACCTTTATTTTAAGTTAAGATTGTTTAGCAGTATGTCTTTATCATTAGTGTCCGTGAACATTGATGATTGGAAAATTAAGTGATTGCATTTTCGTATGGACCGTGTAATAGAAGATACACTGCTTTAAGCAGCTTCGAGTTGAAAAAAGACCGCGCAAAACGATTGGGCCAATAAATATGTAAATTTCTAAGTAGTAATTGTTCCATTTTATTAATACGAGTGTAAAGTGCTTTGGCAAGTCAATGTAGTTGAATTTAGCTTAGCTTTTTTACACTAAAACCGTGGTTCAAATTTCTGCTGAAACAAAGATAAAGGTTGTGATCTTAAGAGGAGGATGACTCAACGAGAGATAGCTAGGCGGCTGGGAATTTCCAGGAACAGTATTCAAACCACCCAAAAGATGTTTGTTACTACTGAATGTGTTTTATGAGCAAAGAAAACCGGAAAACCGCAAACGTTAAACAAAAGAAATGAAAAGAAAAACATTATGAGAATCTCGGTAGGCAATCCAAAACTGATAGCCAAACAAGTAAGGAGTGGATACAGTCTTAACAGTGACGTTTCAGTTGATACAGTACACACACTGTATTGCGAAAAAAAAAACCCAATTTGGACGGACGTATAGGGCCCCTACAACCCTAATGGGTTACAGAATACATGACATGACATGACGTGACTGACTGACTGACTGACTATCTGACTATCTATCTATCTATCTATCTATCTATCTCAGTATTTTCATATCTATCTATCTATCTATCTATTTAGTCTTTTTCTATCTCTCTCTCTCTCTCTCTCTATCTATATATATATATATATATATATATATATATATATATATATATATATATATATATATATATATATATATATATATATATATATATTATTATGTTCATCCATCTATGTATTTCAATCTGTTCATATCTAAACAGTGTATGTGATTGGTTCAGACAACCCCCCCGTAGTTCTTATTTTATTTATTTCTTCCCCTCTCTCTCTCTTTCTCTCTCTCTTTCTCTCTCTCTCTCTCTCTCTCTCTCTCTCTCTCTCTATTTTCCATTACATTTCGGTGGCCTACTATCGAAGCTTCATATGATATCTTTTGTGTTCTGGAATATTGTGAAATCCTGTTTATGAAGGAACCATCCGCCCATATAATATGCTCAGGGCTAATATTTTGTCTAAGTTTCAGTCGCATTTTTACCTTTTTAATGAGGAAAGAGAGGTTGGAGAATTTAACACCCACAAGAGATATTGAATGCAAGAGAGGTAGAGGGAAACAGCGAGTAACCTGCATAAGTTTATGTAAATGGGTGATAGACATGGGGTTGACGTTAAGGGAATAAAAATTGCTTAGGTTTACAAATGAGAGAAAGCTGTGGGTAGCCATGTTTCCCCACGTCTTAAAAGAGACACGGAACATAAAAGAAAAAGAATTAATGGTCAGTTTTCAAGTCTCAAAAGTGTATGTTTTTGAAAGGATGAATCATGTTTAGAATAAGGGTCAAGTCAAGGATTAATGGCTATTGTTGGTACCATGTAATCCAGTACAATCTGTTACATGTTATTTTCACACACGCGCGCGTGAGCACGCACAGACACACAGTGTAAAACGTATTGCCCCTAAAATGCCATTAAAACTCAGGAAAGTAACCTTAATGATGATCTTCGGTGCCATTGGACGAGACGATTCAATTCCTGTATCATCTGAAGCAAAACTGGTTGGTCTTTCTCAATGACAATGTGGGCGAGGAGTAGTGGCAACATTTTTGTAACTAACACATATACTTATATATAAGAGTAGTTGAATTCGCCTATCGCTCGGCTCACTCTCCTTCCCCGTCTTTTGAATGGGTGTAGAGGTTTATCCTTACTTTCCTGTTTTGGATTCGGTTACGTGTTCCTTCTCCGAATGACTTCTCCTTTTCTTTCACTCCCAGTAGCCCCTTGCGACTTAACGACATTATAACATTGTACATTATTTACATTATTCGGACTATTGTCCTCATCTTTGTCGCCATATTTATCACAACGTTTCGGCCGTTGTACGCTCCGGCCTTCTTCAGGTGGTCCTCAAGGACACATGGCACAGTGGATAAAAGCGTTGTTTAAATCCAGTGACATGACCCAAAGAGTGTGAGTTCAATACCCGGTTAAGGCAGCGGAGAACTTTCAGAGGGAAAATTAGCAGGAGATAACTGATAACTGACATCCATCAAACATGGCACGTGGAACTAGAACAGTCTACCCCAGTGAGCGAAATAAAGGGTTCAGTTCGAAATTCCAACCACCTGAAGAAGGCCGGAGCGTAGAACGGCCGAAAAGTTGTGATAAATATGTCGACAAAGATGTCGACAATAGTCCGAATAATGTAAATAATGTACATAGTACCTCATCTCAGAAATATAAACAGATTATAACATTGCTTGGAATTAAATTATGATAATAAAACAATAAAAATTAGCCGATCCGAATATAAGCTAACCTCTTTTTGACGATTTTTATCTATCAACCATTTTGGTATACCAATAACTAGAGAAGCCAGGGGGAAGTGGGTTTCTGCCTTTTCCAAAAATCATTACGCTTAAACAACTCCAACTGAAATTTGAACTCGGTTCTCCGATTCTATGCTTCTTCTTCTTCTTGAAACTGTGGGCTTATTTTAATCAGTTCACCTCCAATGAAGGCGATAATGCCACTAAGATGCAAAGGGACTACTGGGAGCGAAAGAGAATGAGAAAACTTTAGAAGGAACCAGAAACCCAATGCTAAAGACGAAACAAGGGCTAAACACCTACTTTTGTTTAAATGACTGGGGAAGCGTGTGAAACAGACGATATGCGAACCTATCTGCTCATATTGTTAAATCCCATTAAGAACATTATTTCTGCTTCTTTTGAACTGAAATATCCACCTGAAATAGAAACACGTTTTATTATAAAAGCGTATAGTAACTAAGCTTGCATCTAAAGGAGAGAAAGATACTTTTGTACTAGGTCCTGGTTATCAAAAGTTACATAAACTACACCTTCGTTACTAATATGATACGCTTCCAATTGCAGCAACACGGCGCTGGGTAATTCAGCTTCGGTTTCTGTAGCAAGTACGTTTTACGGCATACAGTTGCCAGTATCACACTCATTTATTATCATTTATCGTTAGGTAATTGATTATTTTGTCACACTATTTGCAGATGTTTGACATTTTTATTCATAACAATCATCATTTTTCAGTATGTTGCGTGATGCTTGTTTGTTTGTTTGGGTAAATATTAGCTACCATTATTTTGGCGGTAATCAACATTTTGCAGAGATTTGACTCCTGTCAAATTTACCTCACAAACAATACTGGCGGACACATTGTGAGTCCAAGTAAAAAATGTGTAACACAAAACGATAAATATAAAACATGTGACGAAAAGAAAAAAAAACACGAAACTAGTTATACTAAGAATGTGCTTATTCGTGTGTGTGTGTGTGTGTGTGTGTGTGCGTGCGTGCGCACGTAACAAGCGTGTAAGAGAGATTACAAAAGTCAAGAGAGAAACTGATGAAAATGAACGTGCGCCAGTGGGAGACACTTTACCCACGTGCGACTACATCTGAAGGACAGAGCTGAAAAGCAGTAAAAGAGGCTAGAGAGAGAAGTGCACGCTCTTTTATAGGCTTAAGAAGGTTTTTTAAGTTAAGTGGGATAACTCACAAGTCCACAATTGTCTCTTTGTAATTGTCACATTTTTTTTATTTGCTCTGAACCATATTATAGCGATTAAAAAGATAGGATAAAAATATTCAATTAAATTTTAATTCGTTAATTTATAAAATTAAATTTCTTGTGCTAGCAAAAATAGGTAAAATGTATCTCTCGAAGAAGTAAGTTTGAAAACGGTTGATATATTTGAACCAAAGCAATTTGCTATTTTCAAGGACGAAGCTAAACTTGGAACGAGATTACATCTAAAGAATGCTTAGTGAGACTTGAACAACAGGGTAACCATTATTTTACCATGTCTGTTCTTGGTGTGTGTGTTCTTCATTAAAAACGTATTTTCGTACCATGATGTGTCATTCCTGTGTGTTGTTCCCATCAGCTTCCACGTAAATTGACATCTTTCGCTTTCAGATTATGTACAAACAAATCGGCAGGTATGTCGGGCTTCTTACTATGAAAATTTTGCTGGTACCGGATACAACTATCTCAAAGAATTCTAAACAAATGACTGGGGGAAGCGTTGGTTACTGACATTACTCTCAAAAGCACGAAGGAATTTGTATGCTATTTGGTCAGGGTGACTGTACCTGACAATTGTATTTTTTTAAAATTCTATTATATATATATATATATATATATATATATATATATATATATATACTATACACTATACTATATATACTATATATGTACTATATATATATATATATATATATATACTATACTATATATATATATATATATATATACTATATATATATATATATATATATATATATATATATATACTATATATATATATATATATATATATATATATATATATATATATATATATATATATATATATATATATACTATATACCCACACACACACACATATATATATATATATATATATATATATATATATATATACTATACTATATATATATATTATTTTCCGATTTTATTTGATTTCTATGGTGAGAAATATATATATATTCTCACCATAAAAATCAAATAAAATCCGAATAATTATCGGATTCTATTTAAGACAACTCAAATTTGGCATAATGAAAATTTTTACTAATATTAAATTATAATTTTACAGTTACTTATATATATATATATATATATATATATATATATATATATATATATATATATGAAGAAATAAAAGTCTTAAGGTGTGCTATATTTATGGGATAAAGTGCTCAATATCAGACATAGAGCGTGTGTAAAAATAAAAAGTGAACATTGAAGTCAACACTAAGAGGCGACAGTCTGCTTCATGCTAGACGCAATCGTCAGGCCACGAGTGCTGTTATTTTTCTCGGCTATTTATATATACGGTTCGGTAGTGCATTATTTTTCTCGGCTATTTATATATACGGGTCAGTGGTGCATTGTGGTGCAGCTACAATTGCACCGAGAACATGGCACAAATAATAACAAAGCACAAATGGAGAATTATCAACAAACCACACGAATAAATTAAACCCACGTGTAACTGCAGAATAAAGAACGAATGTCCCTTAAACGGTAATTGTTTACAAAACAACGTAATATACCAAACCAAGATAAAATCACCAGATAAGAAGATAAAGTATACATAGGAGAAACTGAAGAACCCTGGAAAGAAAGAAATTATGCACACAAAACATCTTTCACAAATAGTAAATATGCGAATAGCACAAAGCTTTCTAAGTATCTGGGAAATTAAAAACAAAACGCACATCACACCAACAATATCTTGGAAAATAAGGAAAATATCATCATCCTACAACAACCAATCAAAAACTTGCAAACTTTGCTTGGAGGAAAAAATAGCTATCAATACCTTCCCAGACCAAAATAAATTATTAAATAAAAGATCCGAACTCATCTCAAAATGCAGACATGAAAACAAATTTTTACTACGTTACTTAAAAACCAAAAACTGAAAAAGATAAAATAAAATAAAATAAATAAACAAAATTACAATAAAATAAGTAAAATAAATTAACCACAAACAAATTACCAAGTCACACCCGTTAGAATAGACGAAATAGAATAAATAAAAAAAACAAAATCAATGAATCCAAATAAAGTAAATAATAAACAAATTAACAAACAATTATGACCAAAATATTAGTTAGACTATAAAAATCAAATCAAAAATCGGAGAAAAACAGCTATAACTGTTATATAACAAACAAAAAATACTACGTTACTTAAAAATCGAAAACCGAAAAGAGTAAATAAAAATATACAGTATAATAAATAATAATAATAAACAAGCAAAATAAATTAATCTAAATTCATCCAAATAAATAAACAAACTAACAAACCGATCCCGATAAATTAACCGCTAGAAAAAAATAAAGATAATCAATC